ATTTTTTAAAAAAAACGGAATCCATTTAGCTTAATAATTCATTAAATAATTTTTTATAATACAGGGTGTTTCAGTTTATTGTTGCATAACTTTAAGATTCGATAGAACTTTTAAAATTAATGCATAAAGTCTATATAAACATGGGTCTAAAAATGCGTGGCTTCCGAAATACAGAGTGTTTAAATTTACTTTCTAAAATAGTTTTTTTTAAATATTTCGAACAATATTTGATGTATAACAGTGAAAATTAGTATACGACAAAACGAACCATGGGCATAGTTTTACTGTAGCCGCTAGAGGGCGCTCTCTACTGTACCTGTAGTGTATTAAAATGACCGAAAAATTTTTCTTTGTGCAATTTTTTGCTTTTTGAATAAAAAACTGATTCTTCGCACTTTTCAACATAACTCAAGGGCTGACCCAGCTGGTGACGAGCCCTACTTTTTCCCCCGCGTCTCGTCACACGCCAGTAGCCTGCTGGATCTATTTCTGACCACGCATCCTGCCCCTTACAGCACTGCCGTCCTGTCCCCCCTGGGTATCTCAGATCACGGTGTTGTGGAGGTTAGGTTTCGGTCAGAAGCCGCTGTGGCCGCAGAAACTCGCACAGGCCGCAAAACTTGGCATTACGGATATGCCGACTGGGAGGGGCTCAGAGACTTCTTCTCTAGCTTTCCTTGGAGAGATGTCTGTTTCACTGACGCGGATGCGTCGACTGTCTGTTCTTCAATAACCGAAATTATCCACGTCGGAATGGAGGAATACATCCCCCACACAGTGAAAGTTCCTAAACCAGGGTCCAACGGCTGGTTCAACAAATCGTGTGACACTGCTCGCCAGCAGAAGATCAAGGCCCTCAGAACCTACTTACAAAACCCCACTGTAGAGAACCGACAAGGCGACGTCGAGTCCAGAAACAAATATAACGAAGCGGTTCGCAATGCCAAAACCCAGCATGATATAAAAGTTAGGCACAGGGTAATGTCGCAGCGCAATGGCAGTCGGTCTTTCTGGACGCTGGCCAAGCAGATTGAAAAGAACTTCTCACACAGTAGCCTTCCACCACTTACGTGTCAGGATGGAACTATTGTATTCGACTCAAAGGCCAAGGCGGAAGTGCTAGCCAAGATCTTTGCTGCCAACTCCACCATGGACGTCCCCACCAACGCCCAAGTGCCGTCAATTCAAAGGGTTCCCCACACTATGCGGGAGGTAACATTCAGGCATAAGACCGTAAGACGAGTGCTCTTGTCGCTCGACATCAACAAAGCTTCTGGTCCGGACTTGATTCCTGCCATTGTACTGAAGAGATGTGCAGCTGAGCTTGCTCCAGTTCTTTCGCGTCTCTTCCAGATATCTTATGAATCCGGCACCTTCCCAGAAAACTGGAAATTTGCTCATGTACAGCCCATCCCAAAAAAAGGATCTAAAACCGACCCTTACAACTACAGACCTATAAGCTCTGCTTTCTGTTATAAGTAAAGTGATGTAGAGGTGCATAAATCGCGAGCTTCTGGACTACCTCGAACGTCACAGCTTGATTAGCGACAGGCAGTACGGTTTCCGGCACCAACGATCCACAGGGGACCTCCTAGCTTACGTCACGCAACTGTGGAGTAAACTCATCCAGTCTCATGGTGAGGCTCATGTCGTTGCTCTTGACATCACGAAAGCGTTCGATCAGCTGTGGCACGCTGCCCTCTTGAGCAAACTTCCATCCTACGGCCTCCCAGAAAAGCTTTGCAGATGGGTGGCTGACTTTATCTCTGGCCGCAAGATATCCGTCGTAATTGACAGATTCTCCTCTTCATCCCACAACGTCAACGCGGGTGTTCCCCAGGGATCGGTCTTGGCTCCAACACTGTTTCTCTTACATATCAACGACCTCCTTTCCTGCACGATCAACCCAATCCACAGCTTCGCTGATGACAACACTCTACATGCAGGAATTCAGACAAGCCGATCTCTGCCGCTGAGCTGGAAAAAAGAAGACTAGCGGCGACTTCTTCTCTGACAAGAGACCTGGAGGCTATCACTGCTTGGGGACGCAACAATCTTGTACAGTTCAATGCTTCCAAATCACAGTACTGTACTTTGACGAACAAAAAGCGTCCTAGCGCTCATACAGTTTCGATGGACGGTCGAGTTCTACCAAAGAGCCATTCATTTCGGCTGGTCGGAGTCCAGATCACCGAGGACCTGATCTGGCACGAACACATCTCTTCAATAGCTGCAGCTGCTGGGAAAAAGCTAGGCTATTTGTTTAGGGCTAAGAAGTACTTTTCTCCGCAGGACCTTCTCACTCTATACAGGGCCCAGATAAGGCCTAGCCTCGAGTATTGCTCACACATTTGGGGTGCTGCCGCCCCGACTACATTGTCCATGCTCGATGCTGTCCAGAGGAGGGCGGTCCGACTGATCGATGACTCTTCTCTAACAGACAGTCTCGGGACTCTTTCGCACCGGCGGGCCGTCGGCGATCTAGCCCTTTTCTATCGCTACACCAACGGGCTTTGCTCCTCAGAGCTCTCTTCCATGATGCCGCCGCGCGATGTGCCTGCCAGACAGACCCGCCTGACTTCGGCGTCCCATCCTAACCGTGTCAAACTTCGTACATCCAGAACTGGCCGATACGACCGCTCCTTTGTCCCGAGGGTGTCTAGATTGTGGAACAAACTACGGGAGGAAGCTTTTCCCAGTTCTACTAACGTTAGGCAGTTCAAAAATCGTATTAACAAAATTTCTTTGGGATCATCATAGCAGCCGCGGTGTTCTGGCATTTAGGCTTCTGCCTGCGCGGCTGTTTCGATATATATAAAAAAAAAATAAATAAAAAGCTCTCTTGTGAATTTTCGTTATAGTTAGCCGTTTTTGAGATATTTCGATGTTTAAGGTTCGATGCATTTTTAATTATTTATGATAAAATAACGTTAAAACGTCAGTATCTCGATAATTTTTAGGAGTAGGCTGTGCCTGCAAATATTTTTGAAATTGAAAGCAGAATAAGGTTAAACGTCAATTAGTTGACAGTTAGTTTTGTTGTCTGTTGAAACCTGAAACGTTTTTTTGCAATTGTGAATGCACGAAATTTAGTTTCTTTTACCTGTTTTTTTTTTTGTTAGTTTTATAAAAATGCCATTTTTATTCTCCAATCAAGAGTTAGCGGATATTCATTTTGTGTATGGCTTTGTAAATGGAAACGCAGCAGAAGCAGCCAGAGAATGCGCACGAAGATTTCCAAACAGACGACATCCAACTCGCTCAGTATTTGTAAGAGTGCATCGCCAAATAATTGAAAATGGTTTTGGAAATCTCCAAAGGATTCAAAACATAAATGTTCGTCAGCGCAGATTTAGCCGAATGATTCTGCGTGAGTTTGATAGAGATCCGACCACAAGTGTTAGGAGAGTTTCTGGTGCCTTGGGAATTTCAGCAAGCCATGTTCACCGTGTTCTTAGAAATGACCATAGACGTCCTTACCATTTGCAACCTGTGCAAGGACTACAGCCAGGGGACGGAGAACGAAGCATCACATTTTGTCAGTGGATTCTTGATTGAACTGATAATAATAGGGAGTTTTTAAGTAACGTTTTATGGACCGATGAGTCATGCTTCACTAGACTTGGAGTGGTAAATTTTCATAATCAACATATTTGGTCGCATGAAAATCCGCATGCAGTTCGGGAAAGAAATTTTCAGCATGAATTTAGTGTGAACGTGTGGATTGGTATCTACCGTAGTCGACTATTTGGACCCTACCTTTTGCCTGCAAGGTTTAATGCTGCGACCTTCTTGGAATTTTTAAAGGCTGAACATGCAAATATGTGGGATGATGTTATGTTAGATTTAAGAAGATTGGCCTGGTTCCAGCTTGATGATTGTCCAGCTCATTATTCGAGAATAGTTAGAAACTGGCTGGACGAAAATTATCCAGAAATATGGATTGGCCGTGGAGGACCAGTCGCCTGGCCTCCACGATCCCCTGACCTAAATCAATTAGATTTCTTTGTGTGGGGATTTCTAAAAGAAAAAGTGTACCAGACTCCCGTAACCACAAGAGATATGCTAATAGACAGAATCAGGAATGCATGTGATGAAATAAGGCCTTATTTGAATAATGCTATACCACGTTCGATCATTCGTAGATGTGAATTGTCTATTGAACAATTGGGTTTACATTTCGAGCAACTACTTTAGATTTTGTATGTTTTTCCTAACTATCCAATAGCATTTTAGTTGTAAATAATTAATTTAATTTGTTAAAAATAATATTGGAAAATTAAACAAATTAATATTCTGTTTTTTTGCGTTTATTTGGAGTTAGGAATATTGCTGTGTTTAAAAACACAATCTAAATGATCATCTTAATTACTTGTAATGCCCAAATCGAAAATGTAAAAAAAATATTATTTTCCCATAGGTAAATAATTAAAAATGCATCGAACCTTAAAAATCGAAATATCTCAAAAACGGCTAACTATAACGAAAGACACAAGAGAGCTTTTTTATGCAGAAAAGTGCGAAGAATCAGTTTTTTATTCAAAAAGCAAAAAATTGCACTAAGAAAAATTTTTCGGTCATTTTAATACACTACAGGTACAGTAGAGAGCGCCCTCTAGCGGATACAGTAAAACTATGCCCATGGTTCGTTTTGTCGTACCAAAGAACCCTTGTATACCAATTTTCACTGTTATACATCAAATATTGTTCGAAATATTTAAAAAAAACTATTTTAGAAAGTAAATTTAAACACCAGGTATTTCGGAAACCACGCATTTTTCGACCCATGTTTATATAGACTAGTTTTAAAAGTTCTATCGAATCTTAAAGTTATGCAACAATAGACTGAAACACCCTCCTTAAGCTCTCTTATCGTGCAACTTTAATATAAGTATAAACACCCTGTACAGGCGCAATACGCCAACTTTATCTTTATCTTGTCTGCTGAAAGTTGATACCGTCGATGTGTGAAGGGTGAAAGTACAACCAATCTGACTCACCTAAGTAAAGCTCACAACCGAAAAAATAAAAAAGAGTTTCGCAACTCAGATCGATCTTCGCAGCAGCAGATTGGATCGGAACTGTATTTGAATGATTTCCCTGTTCGCCCGGGTTCTGTATCTCATGGACACCGGATTCTCACGACACTTGCCCGCCGAAATTATCGAATTTCAGATCAGAGGATCGCACCGTATCGCTGACAATCACGAATAGCGATTATGGTGTCAGTGTTTACGCACCATGAGAATTAATAGATTTATAGTTGATTAATTTTTTGTCGGGTGGGGATGGCATATAGGGATCTTTTGTCATTACGCCAAGATGGGCCAGCAGCATTTGGAAAGAATCATTATAACCTTTTTGACTTCAAAACTAGCGAATAATTTATGTTTACGAAGATAGTAGAGCGGTTTTTACGGTATTTCCAAACCATACCTATACCTCGAGCATGTAAGCAAAACCAGAGTCTAGGGTCTTATCTTGGTCTTGTACAGAGTGACGAGAAAAGTACTTCTTGTCTAGCTTTTTCCCAGCGGCTGCTGTCATTGACGAGATATGTTCTGTGTTTTGGAAGCATTGAAGTGTCTCGTCAGAAATGTTTGCATGTAGAGTGTTGTCATTAGCAAAGCTGTGGACTGGTTTGATCGTACAGGAAAGGAGGTCGGTGATATGTAAGAGGAAGTGTCGGAGACAAGACCGATCCTTGGGGAACACCCGCGTTGTCGTTGTGGAATGTCACTTACGACGGATATCTTGCGGCCAGAGACAAGGTCAGCCACCAGTCTGCAAAGCTTCTCGAGTTTCTTGTGGCCACTAATGCACATGCACGTGCCACACCAGCAGTAAAACAATCGATCTCTTACAAAGTTATCAGCGGTCTTGGACACGTTCATTGACCAGCCCGCAGCTGTGATTTGACGCCCATGGATTACTTCCTATGGGGTACTGTTAAGGACCGCTGTTACACTAACGAGCCTCGAACAGTTGATGTTCTTAAGGGAAATATCCGTCAAGCTATTGATGAAATAGGCCCACAAAGTATCGAAAATGTGCTGCAAAATTCGGTTAAGAGGATGGACTACTGCCAGGCTAGCCGCGGCAGCCATTTAACTGAAATTGTTCTTCATAAATAATCGGAAGGTGTATTCTTTTGAATTAAGTGTCGAGTGTTACATATTATTGAAGAGTAGTTAAAAAAGAGACCAACGGATGGCCCACCCTATGTTATGTCCACTAGTTCTTTGCTTTCATAAACATGGGCCATTTCTTTCGCACAAAATAATCCGAAAAATTAAAGTATACGGTACTGAAAACCATTCAATAGCTAAGGTTTTACACTACAGTGGTCGAGAATATCAAAAAAATATGTGTAGTAACGTTCCTGTTTTTCCAAATTTTTAATCTTTTACTATTTGTCTTATTATGCAACTATTATATACAGGGTGGCGCATCGAAAACGAAAGCTAATTTTTTTTTGAAAAATGCTCAGACCCGTCGATTTTGTTTTCGAGGGCGACACAAGTTTGGCAAAAAATCACGTTAGCACGTGCAGCCCCCTAAGCGGGGGTGACACCACCCCCAAAATCTAGAATGGAAAGGGGGGTCGAGTGCTACCTTATTTTAAAGGTCTTTCAATTCCCTTTATAATAATATAAAACTAATGTTTTTCAGTTCAGTAGTTTTGAAGGTTTATTGATTTAAAGCTTAAATAAAACTAATACATCATCATTAGTGGAGATCAATACATTTGGCAGCAAAGTAATTTAAAAATGAAGAATGAACTGACCCGTTAGGTAAGCAAATGGCCACCATGACTCTCCATGCAATAATAAAGATTTTGCTCAAAACGTTGCCGCACATTTTGCAATATTTGAGGAGTAATTTGAAGGCACTCATTCACAATTCTTTGTCGCAGGTCTTCTAATGATGTTGGCTGAGTAGCATAGATTTTGCTTTTTAAATGACCCCACATAAAGAAATCCAAAGGTGATAAATCTGGCGATCTTGGGGGTCATTCAATGGCACCTCTTCTACCAATCCATCGATCTGGAAACGTCTGATCTACAGTATATTCAGATAAGAGATAGACCGGATGTAAACAAAAGGTTCGGGGATTATTTAACAAAAATTGGGAAATATAGAAATCAAAACAGGAAGATTTATTACCTTGATGAAACGTGGGTAAACGCAGGACACACTACAAGTAAAGTATGGGTTGATGATTCTGTAACTTCATCCAGGAGGGCCTTTCTAGATGGACTGTCCACCGGATTAAAAAATCCAGCAGGTAAATACGAGTAATAGACAACAATCGGATGTTTTTCAAACCTTGTTCCCATTAATTCCAGGGGGCAGATAAAACATATTACAAGTAACAAAACTTTTATAACTTTCGATAAAATGCGTGGATGTTTTATTGTCATTTTCATTTGTTAGAACTTTTTTAAGCCATGTTTTTATGTGTTTTCGATATTTCAATAATTTTTTAATATAATCTTAAAATATGTCGAATATTATAAACTTAAAAAAAGTTACTAAGTTTTATATTGTGTACCGTTCCTAATATTTCTAATCATTTTAATTCATACTTTAAGCTTTATAAAGTTATAATTTGTTAATATTAATATTTGCGCGTATTTCAGGTTCCTGATCATTCATTTTTTAAAGGTTTATAACTTTAAATTAAATTGTGAAGCGCTGAGTAATCATACGACGTTCAATATTCTTTCTTTCAGTATGACTAAATAATCCCAATTATAGCAATCTGATACTCATGTCTCAATGTTTTTTCGCTGAATGTGATGAAAACATTTGAAAAAGGTTCGCTTATTGAAATAAATCTACACCAGTTAGTACTTCGATTTCCAGGTAAAGGGAAAAGGCTCATTATCTGCCATATTGGCAGTGAGGATGGATTTGTTGTTGACGGTCTGTGGTGCTTTGAGTCTAAGAAAACTGGAGATTACCACGAGGAAATTAATGGCGAATCGTTTGAACAGTGGTTTTCAAAAATTTTACCGAACTTAGAGGAAAACGCAGTAATTGTGTTGGATAATGCGCCTTATCATTCTCGAAGAATGGAGAAGGTCCCAACAACGGCTTCAAGGAAAGTTGATGTTCAAAATTGGCTCCGCTCGAAAAATATCAACTTTGAAGAAGCAATGCTGAAAGTACAATTATTAAGAATTGTCAAGGATCACAAGGCGGAATATCAAAAATACGCCATTGACGAAATTGCAGCAAGTCAAAATAAAACTGTGCTCCGTTTACCTCCATACCATTGCGAGCTCAATCCCATTGAGCTCATATGGGCAGAGGTTAAAAATTATATAGCTAAGCACAATATAACTTTTAAATTTTGTGACCTCAAAGGACTTTTCAAAGAAGCACTAGAATTAATAACAGCGCAAAAATGGGAAAACTGTATTAAGCACGTGAAAGACAAAGTTGAAAAGAGAATGTGGGAACTGGACAATATTTTAGAGGAACAAGTCGAGCCATTCATTATTGACGTTGGTGCTTCAGGCAGTAGCGATGATGAAAGCTCATCAAGCTCATCTTTCCAATAAAAGATGTCGTTCATCAAATTCGGTAAGTTATAAGTAATTATAAAGCTACTGTATTTTTTAATTAATTATTGACATTTTTGAACCCATTTTGGCAAAACCTATTCAAGAATCTACTTTCTGACAATGTTCAACCATGCACATTTTTTTACGTTTTGAACGTTTTAATTTGGTTACATATTTACCTAGAAATCAAAAAATATACTAATCAATATTCTAAAAGCACTTTTAAGAGATATACGATTATTTTTAATTTAGGCTAATTTAAACGCCATTTTGAGATTATATTCGACTGTATTTCACCAAACATCAGGCGGCATCCGAAGCTGGAAATCGAAGCGAAAATTTTGAAACCCTTATGTATATTTACATCATTATATATTTCTTACCCCACCCCCACATGATCCTATATCCATCACCAATCGTATACACATCGAATTGTGCTAATTTACTACAAAGTTACGCAAAGCAGCATCTACTATCTAAAATATGTACTGCGTGACTCTTAATACGTCCCTGCCGAATGTTACAGCGTTCGATGATCACGTGGTCTTGTTTATGTCCGGTCTATCTCTTATCTGAATATACTGTAAATATTGTCGAACACGTAATGCGTAATGTGGTGGGGCACCATCCTATTCGCAATGTACCGCCGATTATTCTGATTTTCAATTATGGCTGTTAATGCAGGATCTATGGCATCTTCTAGTAATTCCAAATACATTTCACCGGTCAAATTTCCAGGTAAGAAAAAAGGACCAACTAAATGATCGCCAAAAATACCAGCCCAAACACTTAATTTTTGTGGCTGCTGTGTATGAACCTCATGATAAATTCTGGGATTAGAATCGGACCAATATCGACAGTTATGACGATTTACTAGGCCATTTAAAAAAAAAGGAACGTTCGTCGGAAAAGCAAGTGTTGAATAGAAAATGTTCATCGTGTTCACCCATATTTTCACAAAATTGTAATTGCCGATCAAAATCGTCTTCATTAAGTTCTTGTACCAGGTAAATTTTATACGGATGAAAACTATGGACCCTTAGAATCCGTTGGACAGTACGTCGACTATGGGTACCGGGGCACGCTGGGATAAGGGGCAATGAGACGGCGGACACTGGCGAAAACAGGATCAGCCAGCAAGCTCGTTGGTCCAGAGCCAGCTCTAGGAGTGACCGCGCATAAAGCTAGGAGGATAATGGAGACGTGGGTTGCAAGACAACACTCTCAGAAATGGAGAAGTATCTCTAGACATCTCCGCCAGGCACGAGAGCTCATTGAAGGGCCCAGTGCTAAGGATGAACGCTTCTGCCTATCCCTGGGTAGAGCCAACCTAAGGTTGCTGGTGGGACTGTTGTCTGGACATAACACATTAAGGCGTCACCTGCTCGTAATGGGGGTGGCTGAGGATCCCTTGTGCAAACGCTGCGGAGTAGAGGAAGAGACCTCGGCGCACGTTTTGTGTCGCTGTGAAGCTCTGAGCTACTATAGGCAGACTATACTGGGGTCCATTACTTTGGACCCTTAGGATGTCAAGGAGCTTGGACTCAAGGCGATTCTCAACTTCGCTAAAAGGGCGAGGCTTGTGATTTAAGGATTGTAGAGGTGCCTAAGGGCCCGCTTATGCGGCCTATGCACTGGCTCCTTATGGT